TGTATTTACCTAGCACATGGTATTGATAAAATATGATCATCAATTAAATAACTCCATTTCATTTTTGCGTGACAGGTGCCCTTTAATTACATTTGTAACAAGGAGGATAATTTTGTTTTATTCTGGGCACGATACCTTCATTTCTACTCATAAAGATGATGCATCTCTTCCTACAAATACCATTTGTCTACTTTCATTAGCCCGATGAAGTTTTTATTTAATTTCAGATTTTAAAATTAAATTAGTGTTTTTAATGTTGAATTGTATAACAGAAAATTGTTTTATAATGCTTATTGGCAGGGGAATCATATTTGATAATAGCCTTTTGTTGTCTTTGATGACATTTCAGTTCGCTAAAGGGACAAGCACCAATATCACTTAATCTTAAAGGACCACTCTAGGCACCCAGACCACTTCAGCGTAATGAAGTGGTCTGGGTGCCAGGTCCCTCTAGGATTAACCCTTTTTTTTATAAACATAGGAGTTTCAGAGAAACTGCTATGTTTATAAATGGGTTAATCCAGCCTCTAAAGCCTCTAGTGGCTGTCTCATTAACAGCCGCTAGAGGCGTTTGCGTGTTTCTCACTGTGAAAATCACAGTGAGAAAATGCCAGTGTCCATAGGAAAGCATTGTAAATGCTTTCCTATGAGACTGGCTGAATGCGCGCGCAGCTCCTGCCGTGCATGCGCATTCAGCCGAAGAGGAGGACCGGAGGAGGAGAGGAGGAGGAGAGCTCCCCGCCCGGCACTGGAGAAAGGTAAGATTTTTACCCCTTCCTCTCCCCAGAGCCCGGCGGGAGGGGGACCTTAAGGGTGCGGGCACCCTCAGGGCACTATAGTGCCAGGAAAACGAGTATGTTTTCCTGGCACTATAGTGGTCCTTTAACGAAGTGGTTTTGTTGCAAAGACACTGTCCTTTTTCTTGGATGATGAGAAATGACAATGTTTATTTATGGCTGTCAGACGGACAATCACTAGAGACACTTTCTCCTTTAAGACCTTTAATTTTTAAAAGTATTCACATTCAGCACAGATTGATGACACAGAAGGCTGGTAGTGAAACTCCTAGAAAAGCATGGGATTGAATATTACGCTATAAGAAGCATTGGATTGACATCTCATAGTGACTGTATGCGCCGATATTAGAATCTTTGGATTGGATCAGAAATCATCAGAATTGATGCTGGATTAATTTAAACTTAAAGGGACACTCCAGGCACCAAAATAATCTAAATGAAGATGTTATGGTGCCAGGAGGCCCCTGGAGGCACTTATACTTTAAGGAGTTAAATTGTTCTCGAACAGTTTAACCCCTAAGATGTCTCCAGCACTGATGTACACTCCTCTCAATATTCACTTACAGGAAGCACGGAGTCTTGCCTGGCAGGGTCGCCGCTGATTGGCTGAGAGTGGTCAGCTGACACTATTCACTAAACTGACATGGAAAAGGTACGGCGGCACTCTGAGCTTCCTATAAGTGAAAATTCAGAAGCAGGATGAAGCTAGTGGAGGAGTAGACATGACCACTGGAGGCAACTTAGGGGTTAAACTGTTCGAGAACAGTTAAACCTCTTGAGATAAGAGTGCTTCGGGGGCCTCCTGGCAAAATAACAACTTAATTTAGATTAAGTTGTTTTAGTACCTGGGGTTTCCCTTTAATTCCTTTGTGCATTTTTTTTTATTAAAGGGAGACCATCACCTAAATCAAACAAAGCAACATAGTAAGCCAGACAATAAATATATGTATCTTTAACATCAGTGTTCTATTAATGCACCTTCTGCAAGGTCAAAAAATATGAAAAATTAAATCCCCGTGTCAGACCTGAAATGCGAAAAATTCAAATTGTGGCTTTTCTTGTAAAATACTTTGATGATTTGACATATCCTCATTTAAATAAAATATACTGATGCACCCCAATGATTTGCAACTTTGTAAATCTAACAAGCCAGGCACAACGTGGAAGGAACCAAGCTCCACATTTTGCAACATGGCAAACAATACTTCCCAGGGTTTTATTCTTTTTGCTGCATGCAACGGGTTAAACTATGCTGGTGTGTGTCTGACAGGTTTAAGATTAGTGTGAAGAAGAATAATAGGTGCTGATTATTTACTTTACCCTCCAGGGACAACTGCAGGAATAATAAGAAGGTCTAGCTGGGAAAAAAAAATAAAAAATATATAGATACAAGCAGCAATGGAGCTTTTAGAGAAGTAGTTTTGATGTGTAGTTTTGATTTTGTATAATGCATGTAAACATGTGTGACAGTGTCAATATAGCAGCTAAACTATTGGGGTAAACACCTGATTATGTCCAAATGGACAATGTCAAATTGACCAAATTTCGACCGCACAGGCAATCAGCAGATTTACTAAAGCCAAATTAAGTCAGGGTTTGGTCTGTTCGACCCATTATCTAACTTTCGTTCGGATGAGTTTGGAAAACCAGTGATTAACTCATCCAAACCAATTTACAGTACCGGAATCGAAGATTTATCAACAACCAAATGACAGCCGCTGATAAACCGAATGCACGTTCCAAATTTATTATTTATTTGCTTTTTCCAAGATAATTCATAATTTGAAGAACTGTTTCCACACTGGCAGCACTAGCAGCACTAGCTGCCAGCAGGCAAATAGTTAAAAAATCATGATTGCGAGGGTTAGTTATGCGGCAACTGGTCAGAGCTTGCTAGCAAGCTGCCACATTAAAACAGTAACTATATAAATAAATAAAAATTGTATAGAGGTCAATAAAACCACAATATTACTGTTTATTATCAATAAAATATTAAAACTGGAAAAAAGTTAAAACACATTTTTGTCACTGTTTACTGTTGTACACCATTTGTACAAAACTAGTGCAGATACAGAACAATATCTGAAATTCTGAACATATTTTTGCTGTCCTTATGTTTACCTGTTTTGCCAATCCTATGTGTGTCTATTTCTCCCATTCCCCAGCCCCTTTTGTGTGTCTTTCTTGCCCAAGCCCCTTTGTGGGTGTGACAAACGCCGCTTTCCACAGACATTTTCCACGGACTCCTGGAGGAGTGTAAAAAGCTGGCCTCCTGCCCACTGACTATGAGCCAGGTCAGCGACTGTAAAGACCCATATTTTAGATTTTAGTCCCCCTAGTTCGGCCCTTTCCATTCATGCGCATAGAACTAAATGCTAGCTCCCTGGCGGCCTTTCGCATGGACCAAAACCATGAATAGACTTCAGGGGGACTTAACCGCAAATGGAACTGGAACTATTTACGGTATGAAGACTTTGCGGTTTCCAGTCGGTCCCCAGCGGCCCTTGGTTATGGTGTCCGATGCAGTGCTTATGGTACTCAAGGATTACTAGGAAGCAGCGATTGACAGAGGTACCAAGTCGGGGTGCCAGGTGGTCCATCACATTCTTGGCAGTGGTGGGTTGGCTTCCTAGTTAGTATAGAAGCATTCTGGAGACACCGGTATCGCTGGATTTACTGGGAGGTACCCAGTCAGGGTGGTCCATCACAGTGGGTCTCTTTCTCCCCTTTCCCTAGCCCTTGGGTGTATCTGTTTCTCCCCATCCCTTCTGTGTGTCTCTTCCTCTATGTGACAGCCCCTCTATATATCTTCTGCTCCCCCAAACCTCTCTGTGTCAACCCCCCACACATTGTGCCATTGTCCATAGCTTTTTTCCAGGGCTTCTTTGTATCCCCAGTCCAGTCCTGACACTCTCTAATCCTAACCAGCCTTATACTATACCTACTCTTCTGAATACTAAACACCTTATGTAATATAACTGATTCCAGGGCTGTCATCAGAAATTTTGGGGCCCCTGACACAGCTCAAGGTCTGCATCCGAGTCCGCCCAAAGTGCTGCCCCCCTCCTGAGTCCGCCCACAGGGATGCAGTGTCTGCAGGGCTGGTGCAAGGATTTTTGCCCCCCCATGTGACATCACAATGCCCCACCCATGTGATCTGCCATGTTAACTAACACCAGTGCTGCAGTGCTGCCGTGTTTACATTAAAAGGCCTGCAGGGACAGGCTAGACACCAGAACCACTACATTAAGCTGCAGTGGTTCTGGGGACTATAGTGTCCCTTTAATGTGAGGTAAATTAGAGATTAGTGCCACGAATAATATACTAGATTGCCTACTTACAACCAGATGAGGATGATGATGGGCTCTAGCTGCCGTCTGGCTCCACTGGTCTGGTGTAGAACAGGCTCTCTGGAGGCGGTTTGTAACTGTGGTCACAAAAATCAATGTTCTGGGAGAACGGGAAGCAGCTCCATTTTTTTGAGGGCCCTTTACACAGCTCAAGGTCTGGGTCCCAGGGTCCACCTTCATGTTCCACCAATGAGTTTGTTCACAGGGGGTGGAGTGTGTGTGGGGGGGTGTCCTGATGTGTGTAAGGAATGCATTGTGTGAATCTGTGTTTGTATGTGTAAGGGCTGCAAGGTGAGCTTGTGTATGTATGGGATGCAGTGTGTGCGTCTGTAAGTGATGCATTGAGTGATAGTAAGGGGTGCATTGTGTGTTGCTGTGTGTAAGGGATGCATTGCTTGTGTATGTGTGTCTGTGTGTAATGCATTGTGTGTTTTTCTGTGTGCAAGGGGTGCATTTGTGTGTGTGTGATGGATGTCAATCTCTCCCCCTCCCCCCGTCAATTTCCTTCTCCCCCCTCTCCAATTACCTTCCCCCCCCTCCAATTTCCTTCTCCACCTCCCTCTCCCTCCAATTTCCTTCTTTTTTTT